TAATATTATTTTTAATTTTTTTCTGTCAAACATTCATTACCTGTACATTATTGATGTCATTTTTTTGTTTGGTTAATCCTGTACTTTTGTACTTCTGTTTCGTGTTAGAAATAAATACTCGAAACATGTAAAATATGTTTTATTGTTTACAATGAACATTTTTAAACTTTGTATTAACTAACTTATTTGAGCTTTGCTTACACGTCTAATTCATATTTATCTCTTCTTTTTGTTATATTTATTGCATTTAAGAAATTTAAAATTCATACATTTGTAATTTTATATATTTATTTTAGTATGCAATAGTACAATTTGATGACATGGAATTCTCTGTAGTTTCTATAATTTGGTTGGAAGACCCAAATTATTGTTACTGGCCTCAAGGAATAAAAAATATCAGTACTACAATAGTTAAAGGAATACCTGTGCAAGATACTTGGAATAAATATAAATGCTGTATCATTAGTAAACATGGTAAGAGAATAAAATTAAACTAATGCTACATAGAATTTGGAAAAAAATATTTAAAAAATAATAATAATAATTAGAAGTTATTATTTTTTGCTATATTTAATTTTTATATACTTTATATTAAAAATTTATTTTTAAATAGAATATATCCGAAGCTAAAAATTTATAATGTATAAAAATTTGTATTATATATTCTTATAGCACTTTGATTGTGTTATTATTTATATGTAAAAAGTTATTTTTTATTATTTGTATTAATAAAAAATTATGTATTATTTAATTTAAATCGTAATTATTATTTCTTATTTATATTTACTTATGAGTTAGACTTAAAAGCTGAAAAAGAGGCTGTAGCTACGTCAGAATCTGAAATTGAACGGCAATCAGGAAAAAGAAAAATTAAATCTAACAAACGTAATGATTATGTCGATTTTGTCGGTCCTCCAAATTTAGTCTCTTCGTGCAAGAACTCAGATAACACAAATACTGCAGGTAAACTTTTTAACTTACTTCATAATTATTATACATACATATAGTTATATACATATATACATATGTTGTATAATAACATCTAGAGTTTTATTTGTTAAACGTTTCAAATTTTTACTTGTATTTTTGGTTATCCATTTCATTTTGTAATGGTTTCTTAAATGTAAGATTATTTTTTTAATT